TGGAAGTGTGGAGTCTTAACCACTGGACCACCAGGGAGGTCCCAATCTGCATTTTATTTAATGCTGGTAACTCTAAAGACATACCTATTTTAATTTAACCAGTTTTTATTTACCAGAGATTACCCCGGATCATGTGAACTCGAAAAACATTTGAGTTAGTTACTGTATTTCTGAGTTTTAGGAATACTTAATTGATAACTATTTATTTTTAAACCAATTAAATAGATCTCTTTTAGAAATTAATTTTAGCATTTCCATCCAGAGGTAGAGAAAGAAAAAAATCACATATATATAACGTGCATCCATAGATATACATAAATGGGCAGACAGACACAGACACTCTATAGCTTCTGTTCCAAAATTTTAGCTATGAATCACATACAACAATATAAAACTCATTAGTTTATAATAACAGTTGAATCCAAGTTGGCAGATGGAACAATTTAAGGTTACCTGCTCCAATGGCTAAAGCTTCTTACTAATATTTGTGGAGAAGACTTTTAAGATTTGTATTTGTCCTTGACAAGTAATCTCCTGGGGTGTTTATATTTCAAAGACATTTAAAGATTTACATCTTCAAGGGACAGAGAACGAATCTAAGTTTTCTTCTTGGAGTTTTAGTGCCTTTTGGATGGTTTTGGCAGTCCCAATAAAATGTAGTAGTGCTGCCCTGTAATTAGGGGAGTACCTTGTAAAAATAATCCTCTGGACTCCAGGTCAGAGTGGGCTTTTTCAGGGTTGAAAATGAAAAGGGGTGGATCACTGTGGTGATTGGCATAGTGTTTTGGATCACTGGCACAGTGATATTGGATCACTGTGGTCACAGAAATGATAAACCTATTGAACCATGCCAATTTTGCGCAGCAGGAGATGGGCTTCATCTTAATGTTTTCCATTCATCGTGAGCCTTACCAGTGGTCACTGTGATGGAAGAATGGTCATGGTGCCAGGCACTAAACATCCAAGTGAGGAGAGGAAGTCCCCTGGTACGAATATCAGTGGCTCTAAGGGCCTTTGCCTTCCCATTTCCCTCTTCCTCCTCACAAGAGATTGGTAACCTTGTCACCTTTTCCCTTGGGGGCAGGGACACCCGTGACTCATACTTCTAATTCTGCCCCATACAGGGGAAAGTCCAGGGGCCTCGGGATCTGTAATATCTCAGAGGAAATGAGGGTGTAGCTCAAATGGATCTTTAAGAAAGTTATGGATTTTAGTGTCTTTAGAGATACCAACCAGTTGACACATTTTGGCAGCTGTAAATATCAATTCAGAGACTGTCTTGTTCCAACCAAACAAGAAAATCCAAGAAATCCACAATAGCCAATTAGTTTCCCTCTCTTTCCCCATGCATAAAATCTTTAAATAATATTTTAATTTCGGTTAAGGTACAGTTTTTGATCTCAGTTTCCACTTCCTGTTTTTATCCTGTTACCTTAATCTTATGTGCTGTTACCAGAAATTTTTGGATGATGTCACTGTGAGCCCTCTTTGTGGGTGGCTGCTTTCCTTTCCACGGGGTATCCCAAGAGACCTCGCCAGGATTGGGTCTGCCTCCACTAACGCGAGATATGCTTATAGTCTTTGGGAAAAGCCCCCAGGCCCCTGGAGTGTAATTCCAGAGTTTTAGCATGTTGGTATGCATGGCTTTAAATAACACCCAGGAGGCACTTCAAAGATCCTGCATGCTGCAACTAAAAGATCCCGCATGCCACAACTAAGACCCAGCACAGCCAAATAAATAAATAAATATTCAAATAAATAAATAACACCCAGGAAGCATCTGTGGGGTTTTGCATTTGTCAAGGAGCTGGTGTACCCCGTCAGGGTTCTTAGGAGACGTTGGCACCAGATGTTTAGGACATTTATATTTGTCTATTAATTTTTTTAGTAACACTGATGCCAAAAGGTCAGCCTCTGTGCACCTGTGCCAAATCAAATCTCGGAGACAACAGTTTTAAAGGAAGTAGAAAAGAATAGCTTTATTGCTTTGCCAGGCAAAGAGTACACAGTGGGCTCCTGCCCTGAAAAACTGTATATCCCTAACCCGGGAGGATTTGATGAGGAGTTTTATAGCAACAGTTCAAGTGTGGAGTTGCTGATAAGATTAGGGTGGGTGCGGAGCCTGCACTCCTTTAATCTCATCTCAGGTGGTCTCAATCTTTTTTTGTTTGTTTTATTTTTGGCTGAGTTGGATCTTTGTTGCTGCACACGGCTTTCTCTAGTTGCAGTGAGAGGGGGCTACTCTTTGTTGCGGTGCACTGGCTTCTCATTTCAGTGGCTTCTCTTGTTGCGGAGCACGGGCTCTAGGTGCACGGGCTTCAGTAGTTGTGGCTTGCGGGCTCTAGAGCGCAGGCTCAGTAGTTGTGGCTCGCGGGATCTAGAGTGCAGGCTCAGTAGTTGTGGCGCATGGGCTTAGTTGCTCTGCAGCATGTGGGATCTTCCTGGACCAGGGCTCCAACCTGTGTCCCCTGCATTGGCAGGCGGATCCTTAACCACTGCGCTTAACCACTGTCTCCTAATCTTTATGCGTTTCTCTGGTCCCTTTAATCTTGCCTCAGGTGGCTTCTTGGCTGCTTCTCCCTTGAGTAGCCACTGTTTGAATCTCCCTTTTGGAACTCAGGGAAGGTCATGGATGCTGGAGTCTGTTCCCTACAAAAAAGAAACGGGGGACAGAAAGGCTTCCATGCCCAGAAGGCCCACAGGGTCCTGCTCAGTTGCAACATCATACCAGGGATTGGATCCATAATATTCCATCAGTTCAGGGGACCAAGTAGTGAGTGAAGTGGTGACACAGAGACTGTAAGCCTCTGTCATATTTTCCCTCTGGTGTTGCCACTGGTTTCTGGCTGCAAGGCTATTTCATTCTTCTTGGTTAGGACAATAGTCCTACATAGCACAACCTACTGACAGTGGTAGCAGTAAGAGATCTCCTATCCTCTTCCCCAAGGGAATGTTTTTCTCATACCTTTAGCCTCTCCTTGAGTAGTGACAATAGCCTTGCAATTCAAGGCTCCTTAGCTCTCCTTGGCCTTGAGGCATGGAGGACCCTTAGGCAATAGTCAATTAAGCCCTTTATAATTAGTGGCCTAATCTTCTCATTAGACCATTTAGTCTTTATCACACCACTCTGGGGAGATCCTTGGATTATTATGGCAGCTGTGACCTTTTGGGTTGGATACCACAGGCAACACACCACTGAGAATCATGTGAAAGCGCACGGTAGCGCGACAGGCCCCCAGCAAGGGGTGCTCCTTCCTCAGATGGTGTTACCCACCTGAGTTAGGTGGTTAGTAAGCAAGTTACAGGTAAAAAGGGCATTCCCCTTGTTTAATTGCAAGGGCAATCATGCAATCCTGCCCACTATGCCAATTGTTTTGTGCCTGTCTCTGCCTGTCAAAAAGCAATGTTATGGCTGGACTGGCCCTTAAAGTTCTTATTATGATTGCAAGATATCTTGCAGCAATAAGCATCAGGAAACTTTGAAAGAATAGAGGTTTGTTTACAGGACCTGGAAATTACACAGCGTACCTGTGGCCATAGAGCAAGGTTGCCATAGATAGAGGAAGAAAGAATGTGTGGGCTTGGGGTTCTGCTTTTTTTGGCGTTGAGGGTGGGGACGTAGGGTTTCAGTCTCACTCTTCATTGATGAATTTAAAATATTTGATGGGCTTCCCTGGAGGCACAGTGGTTAAGAATCCACCTGCCAACGCGGGGGACAAGGGTTCAAGCCCTGGTCCAGGAAAATCCCACATGTCGCGGAGCGACTAGGCCCATGCGCCACAACTACTGAGCCTGCGTGCCACAATTACTGAAGCCCACGCACCTACAGCCCATGCTCCGCAACAAGAGAAGCCACCACAATGAGAAGCCGGTGCACCGCGACGAAAAGTAGGCCCCGTTTGCTGCAACTAGAGAAAGCCCGCGCGCAGCAACGAAGACCCAACACAGCCATAAATAAATAAATAAATGTATTAAAAAAAAAAACCCAAAAACATATAAGCAGGAATTTAAAGTGTGGGAAGGGAAAAAACAAGTGGCCCAGCCATAAAAAGAAACGAAATTGAATTATTTGTAGTGAGGTGGATGGACCTAGCGTCTGTCATACAGAGTGAAGTAAGTCAGAAAGAGAAAGACAAATACTGTATGCTAACACATATATATGGAATCTAAAAAAAAAAAAAATGTCATGAAGAACCTAGGGGTAAGACGGGAGTAAAGACACAGACCTACTAGAGAATGGACTTGAGGATATGGGGAGGGGGAAGGGTAAGCTGTGACAAAGAGAGAGAGTGGCATGGACATATATACACTACCAAACAAACTAGATAGCTACTGGGAAGCAGCCACATAGCACAGGGAAATCAGCATGGTGCTTTGTGACCACCTAGCGGGATGGTATAGGGAGGGTGGGAGGGAGGGAGAGGCAAGAGGGAAGAGATATGGGGACATATGTATATGTATAACTGATTCACTTTGTTATAAAGCAGAAACTAACACACCATTGTAAAGCAATTATACTCCAATAATGATGTTAAAAAAAAAAACAAAAAAAAAAACAAGTGGCCCAAATGGTCAGTTACTGAGATCAACCAATACCTCTAAAACAAAGGAGCCTCAGTTCCAGAAGGCAGCCTGACTCTTTATCTAGTGATTTGTTCATTCAAGATATCCTTTGATGTGGCTGCCTCAGTAATCAAAGCTTAAGACAGGCACTTTCATTACAAAAAAAAAAAGAACCTAACAGTCAGTTTATACTACAAGGGAGAAGTATTCCAGTCAGAGGGAACAGTAAGTCCAAAGGCCCTGAGGCAGGAATATACTCAGTGCCTTCTAAGAACAAACAGCAAGGAAGCCAGTGGGACTGGTGAGCAGGGAGCAGGGCACACGGTATAGGAGTGTGTGGCCTGGACCAGAATCTAGAAGACCGCATTAGTCAGACTGGGTAAGGATTTGGGATTTTACTCTGAATGCAATGGAAACTTTTTTTTTTTTTTTTTCAGTTCAGCATCTGATCTAGGAACAGATTCTAGGGACAAGGGAAAGCAAGCAAAGAACATGAAGGTCTATTTTGAACAGCACAAGCTCAAGGCAACCATGACTTGAAGCAGGGGGTAAGTGGTGGCAGAGGGGGCGGTGAAAGGGTGGGAATCTGGATGTAGTTTGAAGGGAGTGCTAATGAGATTTGCTGATGGATTGGATACTGGGTGTGGGAGAAAGGGAGGAATTAGGATGACTCCAAGGGTTCTTGGGCTGAGAAATCGGAAGAGTGTGTGGCCATTTGCTGAGATGAGGAAGGCTATGAGTGGAGTTGGGCTGGAGGGGGATGGGGAAAAAAGAATTTTGGAATTGAGGGAAGTAGTGGATTCATGAGATACTTAGTGAATAAAATCTCTAGGGCCTGGGGACTTTTGGGGTGTGGGGAGAGAGGGAGAGGTCAGGGACAAAAATGAGTCTCAGGTTTCTGGCTTATGGACTGGGGAGATGTTGGCACCATTTTCTGAGACAGAAGATGGGAAAGGTGCTGGCTGGTACTGCAGCAGGAAATCTGGGTAGCAGCTGCTGGAAGCGAGGCTGATTCCAGCCTGGAATATTCCGTCACTTCCATATTGCTCGCTGCCTCCTTTCTTTGGAAATCTGTTTAAATGTCTGCTTATTAGCGAACCTTTTCCTGACCACCTTCTCTCGAATATGGTTGCCATCCTCACCCCTGTGTGCTCCGTTGCCTTCCCTGGCTTTATTCTTTTTCAGCACATTTATCACCATCTGATATTACTGCCTGTTTATGGGATGGTCTCCCACCACTACAAAGTGAGCCATATGAGAGCAAGGAATTGTGTCAATTTTGTTCCCAACTTAAAACAGTACCAAGTATCTAGTCAGTGCTCAGGAAATATTTGTAGTCTAAATGAATGGTGAATGCCGAGTAGGGGCTGGGATGATCGCTGGGGCCCCTCTGATTAATTTGAGACTGTCACCAGTTTGGATTCAGTGCATCTTGGTGAAACTGCCCTGGCCCTGGAGGCTGAGAGCAGAAAGGACAGTGGCAGAGGAGATCCGGGAGCTGGAGTGAGGAGGAAGGGGTAGAGCCTCAATATCTCCACCTGTAAAATAGAAATCTAAAATGAAGTGTGACTTCCATAAGGGGCTGTTAGTGAGGATTGGATGTGGGAGAAATATTTGGATTAAGGTTCCTGGAGTGCAGGGTAGGGGGTGCAGGCAGGGATAGTGTGAGACAGTAAATGTTTGCAATTTAGTAATAAAGGGTGTTTTTTTGTGAAAGGTTGGTTGTCATTGGGGTGGGAGGAGGCTGGCCTGCCTGGAAAAGCCCAGGAAATGGAAGGGAAGGGCAGAGCACAGGTTAGGGGGCAGTTAGGTCCTGGGGCTGTAACTACCCGTGACAAGATTGGGGCAATTTGTGAGCTGGGGTGGTGAAGCAGTCTGGAACTCACTCCCTGGTCTCCATCCAACATTCCTGGCTCCATGAGAGCACTCCTCCAGGGGGAGGCTGGAGGGAGGGAGGACAGGGCAGACTGAGGCTATTATTTTCTAGAAGAAGAGATTGATGCCCAAGTGGGAGAAGGATGGTACTAGTGCCCATGTCCTAATCCCCAGAACCTGTGAATGTTACTTTGTATGGCAAAAGGGACTTTGCAGATGTGATTAAGGTACAGATCTTGAGATAGGGAGATTATTCTGGATTATCTGAATGGGCCGATATCATCACAAGGATCCTTATAAGAGGAAGGCAGGAGATCAGAGAGTCCAGTAGAAGATATAAGGGTGGAAGTAAGAGGTTGGAGTGATACGAGGAAGGGGCCCACAGCACAGGCATAGTGGTCTCTGGAGGCTGGAAAAGACATGGAAATGGATCTTTCCTGAAGCCTTCAGAAGGAATGCAGTCCTGTTGAAACCTTGATTTTAGACTTCTGACCTCCAGAACTGTAAGAGAATAAATCCATGTTGTTTTAAGCCACAAAGTTTTTGGTAGTTTGTTATAGCAGCCATAAGAAACTAATACAGATCCAATGTCACCTGGGGATTGATGGTGGACTTGGAACTGGATTAGAACCTTGTTAGTCCAAATGTCTCAGTCGAAGCCTCCTTGCTCCCTGTATGCTTCGGCCAAAGCTTCTGGTTCACTGTGCAGCTCCCTGGGACAGTTACTGGACCCTTATCACATGTATTTCATTTGACCTTGACAAGAACCCTGTGGGGCAGACAGCCCCTACTTTACACATAGAGAAACTGAGGTTCAGAGGTGAAGTGTCTTGGCCAAGGTCAGAGCACACAATGAGGAATCAATGAGCTAGATCCCAGATCCAAGTCCTCTGCCCTTCCCTGAACAGTACAGATACCACACGTGTCCAGTATTTTGGTCTCTCATTCATTCATTCAACAAATATTTATTGAATATCAGCTGATGCCTGGCCACTGTGCTCAGTGCTGCGGAGCCACTAGTGAACAATCATGACGTCCAGAGACTAGGAATCCTTTGTTCTTGCATCTGTCTACATAGGTCAGTCAGGTCATGATGTTCCTGTAAACCTCCAACAAGACAAATATTATTCTCTGTTCTGCAACTTTTTATCTCTATATGAAGGGAAAAGTGTTATACCTTTAAAGGTCAGAGCCTTGAGAATGGACTATCATGTATATTTCAGACTATAGGCAGCATTCTTCCCCCCCCCCACCCCCGCCCCCGGTACGCGGGCCTCTCACTGTTGTGGCCTCTCCCGTTGCGGAGCACAGGCTCCGGACGCGCAGGCTCAGCGGCCATAGCTCACGGGCCCAGCCGCTCCGCGGCATGTGGGATCTTCCCGGACCGGGGCACGAACCCGTGTCCCCTGCATCGGCAGGTGGACTCTCAACCACTGCGACACCAGGGAAGCCCTATTTTTTTAAATTAATTTTTATTGGAATATAGTTGATTTACAATGTTGTATTAGCTTCTGCTGTACAGCAAAGTGAATCAGTTGTACATATACATATATCTGCTCTTTTTTTTAATTCTTTTCCCATATAGGTCATTACAGAGTATTGAGTAGAGTTCCCTGTGCTATACAGTAGGTTCTTATTACTTATCTGTTTTATATATAGAGCGGTGTATATATCAACACTAATCTCCCAATTTATCCCTCCCCGCCCACACAATAGGCAACATTCTTAACTCAAAGCAAAAGCAATAGAATACAAAGGTTAAAGTAAAAGAAACAGATCTAATGTGGAGTCAGATTTGTTCTTCTCTATTACGCCTGCAACCACCATGCCACTTTTTTTTTTTTTTAAGTTATTTTATTTTTGGCTGCGTTGGGTCTTCGTTGCTGTGTGCGGGCTTTCTCTAATTGTGGCGAGCGGGGGCTACTCTTCGTTGCGATGCGCAGGCTTCTCATTGGGTGGCTTCTCTTGTTGCGGAGCACGGGCTCTAGGCACGCAGGCTTCAGGAGTTGTGGCTCACAGGCTCAGTAGTTGTGGCTCGCAGTCTCTAGAGCGCAGGCTCAGTAGTTGTGGCACACGGGCTTAGTTGCTCCGTGGCAAGTGAGATCTTCCTGGACCAGGGCTCCAACCCGTGTCCCCTGCATTGGCAGGCGGATTCTTAACCACTGCGCCACCAGGAAGTCCCCAATACAGTATTATTAACTGTAGTCACTATGTAATGCTGTGAATACATTAAATCCTCATGATTTGTTTATCTTATAAGTGGAAGTCTGTACCTTTTGACCGTCTTCACCCATTTTACTCACCCCTCACCCCCTGCCTCTGACTACCACCAGTCTGTTCTTTCTATCTATGAGTTCAGGTTTTTTCTTCTTCTTTTTTTTTTTTTTTGGCTGCACTGCATGGCTTGTGGGATCTTAGTCTTTTTTTTAATTTCTTTTTAGATTTTACATATACTCTCACCTTTTATTTATTTTTTATTTTAATTTTATTGGCGTATACTTGATTTACAGTGTTCTGTTAGTTTCTGCTGTACAGTAAAGTGATTCAGTTATACATATACATATATTCATTCTTTTTTAGATTCTTTTCTCATATAGGTTATCACAGAATATTGAGTAGAGTTCCCTGTGCTGCGTAGTAGGTACTTGTTTGTTATCTGTCTTATACATAGTAGTGTGTGTATGTTCATCCCAAGGTCCTCCATGCCACATTTCTCCTTTGGTAACCATAAATTTGTTTTCAATATCTGTAAGTCTGTTTCTGTTTTGTAAATAAGTTCATTTGTATTATTTTAAAAATTAGATTCCACGTGTGAGTAATATCATATGATATTTGTCTTTCTCTGCCTGACTTACTTCACTTAGTATGGTCATCTTTAGGTCCATCCATTGTTGCTGCAGATGGCATTATTTCATTCTTTTTGATGGCTGAGTAATAGTCCATTGTGTATATGTACCACATCTTTATCCATTCCTCTGTTGATGGACATTTAGGTTGCTTCCATGACCTGACTATTGTAAATAGTGCTGCTGTGAACATTGGGGTGCATGTGTCTTTTCAGATTATGGTTTTCTCTGGATATATGCCCAGGAGTGGGATTGCTGGATCATATGGTAGTTCTATCTTTAGTTTTTTAAGGAACCTCCATACTGTTCTCCATAGTGGTTTACCAATTTACATTCCCACCAACAGTGTAGGAGGGTTCCCTTTTCTCCACATCCTCTCCAGTATTTATTGTTTGTAGACTTTTTGATAATGGCCATTCTGACTGGTATGCAGTGATACCTCATTATAGTTTTGATTTGCATTTCTCTGATAGTTAGTGATGTTGAGCATCTTTTCATGTGATTTTTGGCCATCTGTAGTCTTTGGAGAAATGTCTATTTAGATCTTCTGCCCATTTTTTGAGTGTGTTGTTTGTCTTTTTGACATAGAGCTGCTTGAGCTGTTTGTATATTTTAGATATTAAGCCCTTGTCGGTTGCTTCATTTGCAAATATTTTCTCCCATTCTGTGGGTTGTCTTTTCGTTTTTTTTTATGGTTTCTGTTGCTGTGCAGAAGCTTTTAAGTTTAATTAGATCTATGTGTTTATTTTTGTTTTTATTTCCATTACTCTAGGAGGTGGATCAAAAAAGATCTTGCTGCTATTTATGTCAAAGTGTGTTCTCTCTCTGTTTTCCTCTAAGAGTTTTATAGTGTATGGCCTTACATTTAGGTCTTTGATCCATTTTGAGTTTATTTTGTGTATGGTGTTAGAGAATGTTCTAATTTCATTCTTTTACATGTAGCTGTCCAGTTTTCCCAGCACCACTTCTTGAAAAGACTGTCTTTTCTCCATTGTATATTTAAGGCAACATTCTTAACACAAAGCAAAAGCAATAGAATAAAAGGTTAAAGTAGGGCTTCCCTGGTGGCACAGTGGTTGAGAGTCCACCTGCCGATGCAGGGGACACGGGTTCGTGCCCCGGTCCGGGAGGATCCCACGTACCGCGGAGCGGCTGGGCCCATGAGCCATGGCCGCAGAGCGCAGCGGGAGAGGCCACAGCAGTGAGAGGCCCGTGTACCACACAAAAAAATAAAGTAAAAAAAAAAAAAAAGGTTAAAGTAAAAGAAACAGATCTAATATGGAGTCAGGTTTATTTTTCCCTGTTAAGCACCCCTCCTGGGGCCGGCTTTCTAGGGACTTGGAAGAGAATCCACAGCAATCACTTATAACTCATTCATCCATCCTAAACTCAGAGTCAGGCCCAGGAGAGACCTCAGTGACTGTTTGCTAATCAGAAAATAAATGACGTGTTGAGTTGAAATGTGCCATGTAATTTACAAGACCCATAAAGTAGAAACAAAATAATACATCAAGAACAGAAGGTTTTTTTTGTTTTTTTGTTTTTCCTTTTGGTTTTTTTTCGGAGTATCAGGGAAACTACAGATATGGATACAACTTGCTGAAGTCTCTCCAACTGAGCATCAGGATGGGAGGTGCATTGAAGGACCACAATGATGACTGATAGTGAACTTTAAATCCACCGCATGGGGAATTTCCTGGCGGTGCAGTGGTTAGGACTCCATGCGTCCACTGCAGGGGGCCCCAGGTTCTATCCCTGACTGGGGAACTAGAATGCCACAAGCAGTGCAGTGGCAGGACCAAAAAAAAAAAAAAAACCCCTACATGTTAAATGTGGGCACCCCCCCCCCCACATACACACAATTTGCACATGCCACCCAGGAAGAGACAGGAAAAGCAGTCAGGCCTGCCTGAGCAGAAAACTCCTGAAACTTACATGCACTTTCCACCAATCATTTCCAAGCCCCCACCCCTTCCTGTTTCCAAGATAAATATCCCACTCAAAAACCCATGAGCAGACACATCTGCACACTGCCTCCTGTCTCCTAGTTTGGCTGCAATGAAGTCTTTTCTCTCTGCACACAACCGTTGCCTGCTATTTGGTCTTTCCGTTGGGCAGCAGGCAATGAGCCCATTTGCTCCATTACAATGACCCTGAGGTAGAGGAATCTTGTACCCCAAGCAAAAGTATACTCCCTCAGCCAGCCCACCCAGTGGGGCTCTCCAGCTCCTCACAGCATCTCCACACGCCTGCCATGCTCTCCTGCCAAGCAGTCTCCTCATTCACCACACCCCCCCCAGTGCCTGCTCAGGGAGTCCCCTCCCACCAGCAAGGTTTCTTTTTTCCTCCTTTCTCACTCTCTAACTCTGAAGCATGGTTCAAGGTACAGCTGAAGTCTCTCCTGCTCAAGGAAGCCCTTCTCAATGTCTCCTCGTCCTTCTCCAAGGGTATGTGTCATCCTTTGAGGACAGGGTATAACAGAGAATAACAAACCTGACTCCGTATTGAATCTATTCCTTTAGCACTGACCTTTGTGCTGTTGCCTGTGCTGAGTTATGCTGGCTTTGCCCCTTTTGTAAAAGAATGTTGCCTATAACCTGAAATATACAGGATAGCCCGTTCTCAAGGCTCGGACTCTTTAAGGTGTCATTCCATTCATGTAGAGACTAAAAGGTGCAGAACAGAGGATAACATTTGTCTTGTTTAAGTTATATGGGAATACTGTGACCACACCTACACGGACAGCTGCAAGAACAAAGGATTCCTACACCAAGCCACACCTGCTCCCCTTTTAGTATAAAAGAAGCCTGAATTCTAACTCAGGTAAGATGGTTCTTTGGGACACTAGTCCACCATCTTCTCGGTCTGCTGGCTTTCCAAATAAAGTCACTATTCCTTATCCCAACAACTCATATCTCGATTTATTGGCCTGTCATGCAGTGAGCGGTACAAGCTTGGACTTGGTAACAAGGGCACCATTTTTTCATCCTGTCTCCTCTCATTGTGCCCATCACCAGGATGGCCACAAGGAGGCCCGCAAGCATGGCCATGCCCCAGGCACACCACACTCTTTCAGGCCTCTTTTGCACTTGCAGCCCCCTCTTGTCTAGACTGTCCTCCCCTGACTTCTCCTCCTTCAAAGTCTCATCTCCCTGAGGATCCCTCCCCACCTCCACACCCACATGTTACCCTTCTCTGCTCACTGCCCCCACTCTTCTCAGAATCTGTCTCTAGTGTAGCAGTTGTCACACGAACACACGTCTAATGAATTCAGTTCCATTAGATTGAAGGGAAGAAAAGCCCATCTTTTACATTTCTTGAGTGGCTACTCTGTGCCAGGCACTGTGCTGTGTGCTAAGGAAATAGAGATGAATCAGAGACCTGCCCTCAAGGGCCTAATGATTTGCTTGATGCCTCCCAAACTAGACTGGGGGCTTCCAGGGGATAAGGATTCAGATCTGATTCCCCTGTGGGTCCCCCATCACCAAGCACAGACTGGCTCATAAGAAAGCTTTGTGGAGCGAATGCAAGATTGACCTTCTTAAGTTGTAGCTTCAGCTCGGACAAGCCACTTCACTTTCCAGAGCCTCATGTTCCTCATAGGCTAACTGGGAGCAGGGTTTCCAGGACTGGGGTGAGGATAAGAGGAAATGACAAGTGTGAAAGCTCTTTGGAGACCAAATATCCTTCGGTATACGTAAGAGATGGCGACTGATGTTTCCCTCTGTCCCCTACCAGGGCCAGCCATACTCCTCAAGGACCATGGAAGCAGCCCTCACTGGCATTGAATTCACATCACTCAGGTCTAAACCTTCCTGGATCCTGGAGAATTCTCTGCACAGAGCCATGGATTTCTCTCTCCAGCCTACGGGCTTTGGATTTATTTCTGACTTGGGAAATCCCCATCCTGCCTTCTGCTTTCAGCCCAGGCCCTGGCTTGGGTAAAACACAACGAGGAAGCAGGTGACATCTCAGGACAGAAGGGGCCAGGTCAGGGAAGTGCCTTCCAGGGATTCACACCAGAGCTGGAGACATGGTTGGGATGTTATGTTAGAGAAAATGAAAGCTGGGAGAGCGGGAGGGACCTGCCTCGGGTCTCCAGAAAGTCAGTAATAGAGCCAAGGTAAGTCCCAGGATGCCTGGCTCTCATCACATCCACTCTATCTCAGGGCCACCAAAGCCGTACCCCATCAGAGTCCCCCTAACGTTCCTTCTCATCTCTCTCTCTACCCCGAGACACTTAGTTCTGCCCAAAAAGATTCTCAGTGCTCTCCAAATACATCATCTGCTTTTAACTCCGTGCCTTTGCACACAACACGCCTTTTTGTGCATCCCCTTCTCCCACTTGTCTACCAGGTAAACCCCTACTCATCCCTCAAGGCCTGTTCAAGTAAATGTTTCCCTCCTTCAAACAAAGTCTAAACTCAGTTTATCCAGAATCCATTCATCCCTCTTTCCTCTGTGTTCTTATAACACTCTCTGTATACACTGATTTTAATATTTACTACCCTCTTCTATAATTGTCTATAACTGTCTTAGTCCTCACTAGACTGTATTCTCCTCTAGGATAGGGATTATTTCTGCTTCATCTCTCTGTCCCCAGGGCCTATCAAGGTGTCTGGCACTCAATAAATGTCGACCAAATAGTGGAACAGATGAAGGAATATGAGGCCAATTTTTAACCTTTTTAAATTTTATATTTTTAAGGAATATGAGTCTTTATTTATTTATTTATTTATTTGGCCATTCCATGCAGCTTGCAGGATCTTAGTTCCCCAACCAGGGATTGAACCCGTGCCCTTGGCAGTGAAAGCATGGAGTCCTACCACTGGACCACCAGGAAATTCCCTCAGAGTCTTAGTTTATTATCCTTGAAATGAAAGGAAAAAAAACCTCAAGCACTTGGTAAGGATAAGTGGTGGATAATGAATGTGGCACCATCACTGACTCAGTTGCCTGAGCCAAAAATAGGGTATCACCCCAAATTTCCACTTATCCCTCTTCCTTTTCCCCTTCCCCTGTCACCATGGCTTTTTTTTTTTAAATTAATTTATTTTATTTTTGGCTGCATTGGGTCTTCGTTGCTGTGCTCAGGCTTTTCTCTAGTTGCGGTGAGCAGGGGCTACACTTCGTTGTGGTGCGTGGGCTTCTCATTGCAGTGGCTTCTCTTGTCATGGAGCACGGGCTCTAGGTGCGCGGGCTTCAGTAGTTGTGGCTTGCGGGCTCTAGAGCGCAGGCTCAGTAGTTGTGGCGCACGGACTTAGTTGCTCTGCAGCATGTGGGATCTTCCCGGACCAGGGCTCGAACCCGTGTCCGCTGCATCGGCAGGCAGATTCTTAACCACTGCACCACCAGGGAAGCTCACCATGGCTTGTTGAACCTGGCTGAGGATCTAGGTAAGAAACTCTAGGTTACTGGGGGATTTCCATCAGGCCAGAGCTGTCAGGAAGGATGGAGGCAAAGGATGCCGGACGTAGGGATCCTGTAACTAAAAGAACCAGAGGGAGTGACTGTTGGGGACACTGAAGGAGCAGATAAGGGATCAAGAAGGGAGAAGTCAAGGGTGGGTTCTGGGGACTTAGAAACCACTCAGTCTCTGCCCTCAAGGAGCTCATGGTCTGCTGAGGAAACAAATAGAAACAGTTTTATACAGAACTCCACTGTAGTGCAGCACTACCTCCTTCCTGATACCCCTTTTTTACTTGGCTTCCAGGATACCACCCAACTTACTTGGCTTTCTGCTTATCTTCTTGGCCCTCCTTCTCATTAGTTTGCTGCTTCTCCTAGTTTTCGCAAATTCTGAATTTTGAAGGAAATGATTTTCCATCTACACTCACTCCTTTGGTGGGCTCATCCACTCTCATGGCTTTAAACACCATCCATGTGCTGATGACTCTCAAACTGATATTTCCAGTCTTGATCTCTCCCTTGACCTTCAGACCTATATGCCCTCCTGCTCCCTCAACAACCCTACTCTAATGGACATCTCAAAGCCAACACACTCAAAAATGAGCTCCAGATATTTCCCCCCAAAACCAGCACCTCCCTTGTCTTTCCAACTGGTCTCCCTGCTTCTGCCACTGACCCCACTGAATTTTTCTTCATAAAACAGCCAGAGTAACTCTGTTAAAATCTAAATCAGATTGTGTGGATCCTCTGCTCATAACCCTTCACGGGATCCTCAACATGGGGTAAATGGGGTAAAACCAAAGTCCTTATCGTGATCTGCGAAGCTGTACTCTCTGGCTCCTATCTCTATCCTCATCTTCTCCCATTCTCCCCACAGAACACTATGCTCCAGCCATTCCAGGCCCTTTGCACTTGTTCTTTCCTGATGTTCTTCCCTAAATATCAGAATAGTGCCCCCTTTCTTTTTTCTTCAGATCTTTTACTCAAAGGTCACCTTCCCAGTAAGGTCTTCCTTGGCCCCCTAACTGAAAGGAAACGTCTCCCCTACCAACATTTTATTTCCACTTCTCTGACTTATTTTTTCTCCTTAATATTTACTGCAGTCTTAAAACTATATATTTTATTTACCTATCTTCTTTATTTATCTCTCTTATTAAAATGGAAGCACCATGAGTCTCCTCATGATTTTTTTTTTTTTTGGTCTGTTTTGTTCACTGTTGTGTATCCATTACTTAGAATAGTGGCAGGCATATGTAAGGTACTCAGTAGATATTGCTTGAATGAATGAAAGAAAAAGGTGGACATCTCCAAGGGGCAAATTTTACTCTTTAATGAAAAACTTTATAACACCCAGAGCTGCTTGTCAACAATGACAGTTGATATGCACAGTACACTACCTCTTAAATATGTTATCTCGTGAAATCCTCACATCAGTCCAAGATGCGAAGAAGGCTGGGCAGAGATTATGATGCTGGTTGAAAAGGAAACTGAGCCCAGACATGGAAAAGGGATTTGTTAAAGGTCACACATTTGGTCAGGGCAGGAGGGGAACTATGGATGACTGCTGGCCTTGAAAGGGGCTGGTGAGTGATGGAGCTTAATGGGGGTTGGGTTTGAAGGACTTACGTTGCCAGAAGGCATAAGGATCTCTGAAAGGGAAGCTGAGTCAGAGGTTAGTAAAACGGAGGCATCAGCAAAGGAGTGGGAGAGAGATGTGACAAGGCTGACAGCTAAGCTTATTTAGCCCAGTCCTGGAGAGGGCAGCTGAATTTCCCAGCAGCAGAATGCTGCGACTGAGATTGAGTAATCAAGCCCTTACAAAATCTGGAATGCACGACTGGAAAGGCAGTCTTAAGAGACCAGTGAGTCCACTGCAGGTCTACAGAGTCTGGCTTCCCCACTGAACTGTGAGGTCTTTGAGGGCAGGGACCGTGTTCCTAGATTTAGCCCCAGCTTCTAGCAGGGCCTGGAATATGGAATATAGTAGGGACTCAAATATTTCTGTCGAAGGAATACATAAATGAATGTATGCACCCAAACGGGAAACTGAGGGGGAGACGAGACAAACAGGAGGGGCGAGGCGTAAAATCACCCAGCGATTCTGGGGTAGAAGCAGACTAATTTTCCTGGGACGCAGCAGGACAAACAGTCCTAGTACCAACGCTGGTTGCCGCCAGGTGTTTTTCAACAGGGATTGGCAAGCAAATACCGCCTGGGGCCAGAAAGGCGGGGCTAAATGGGGCCGTTGGGGCGGGTCCAGGCTGGAGAGGCCGATTGGCTGAGACTCAAGGCGGGGCCAATAGAGTAGGCGCGCCAAATTTCCACCCAACACGTGACTAAAGTGTGTAACGTCACTTCCAGTCCGGTGGGCGGGAGCGGGAAACAAAAGAAGACCAAGGACGCATGCGTTTGGTGTGTCCCAGGTTCTGATGGGTTCTTCCGCTCAGGCAGAATAAAGTGCTTCCGGGTCGCCACCGCCTGCCGACTCCCGGCGCGGTAAGTACATAAGACAGGCTGCTGTTGCTGTCTCTTTGCCCCTTCTTTCCTCCCTTCCCCAGAGAAACCTCATTCCCTTGACCCGCCTCCTCAGGAGCTGCCTGTTCACACTCCCTTTAACATTAAAAGAGTTCCAGCTCATTGGCCGCTTCCTCGAAACTAAGCCCCACCCCGTCGCACAAGGTCCGTCACTCATTGGTGTCACTTCCTGTCACCCAGCAGTTCTTGCAGTTAATTGGCCTTATCCAGGCCCCGCTCCTTTCTCGGTTAGCAACCCCAAATACCTGCCCGAATCCCGCCCATGCCTTCTTGCTGTTGGTCAACTCCACGGTCATTATCATAATAAGCCGAGAATGGGCGGTGGCTTTGCGGTGAGGGGTTGGGCTTTCGGAGCCGCGGTCTCTGGCCCTTCAGTGCTTATGGGACTTGAGAGGGTTCTGTTGTGCCTCCTAAACGCGCCGGGCAGCTGAGCTCCACGGAAGGGCAGCGGCTGGCCTCGGATTGGTCAAGTGCGTTAGGGCAAGAGCAGAATTAGACGTAGATTCTTTTCTCCTGCTCACCTCTAGTGCCCGGCCTGGATCTCTTCCCCGCGAGAGTTCTATACCCAACTCACCGTGGCACCTAGAGCCAGTCGTTGCCTGTCGCTGGCCTCAGTTTTCCTGTGAGCTGAAAGGTTTTAATTCAGATTCTCTGGGACCTCCTGTTCAGCTCCCTCAGCTGCTGAATCTGAGCTGACTATACTTGTTCTCTTACATGTTAGTTCATCCAGTCTTTCATCTGCTCATGCATTTACTCATACCTTTAGAATGTCTTACTGAGCCATACGTGCACGTGATAACACCTCCCCTCCCTGCCCCCCAGTTTGGCTGTGGTTCATTATAGAGGTGGTCAGGGTCCAAAATTTCTGACACTGGGTGGGTATGGTGTGGGCGGCATGGAGGAGCAGAAAGTAGGTCTCAGTGTTTGGAGGAGGTGGAGAGAGTTTCAGTAGAGTCCTGCTGTCTTTAATTTTGTAAGGCCAGTCTGCATTCTGGTTTCCTCTCTCTACATTTGGCTTCCATTCTCTTCCCTCCTTGAACAGCTTAAAAACAGCTTTACTTACCCATAAAGTAAATTACTTAATTATCAGAATAACTATGAGGGTGGCATAATTGTTACTGTCCCCGTTTTACAGATGAGGAAACTGAGGCTCAGAGAGGTTAAGTGATTTGGCCAAGGTCAAACAGCTAGTAAGCGGTGGAGCCAGGACTCAAACCCAGGTCTGTCTGATTCCCACAGGGAAGGGGTACTTTCCTGCTACCTTCCACACTACCCAATCCCCAAATCAAAATGTAACCAAATAAAAACTAAAACCAAACACATCTGAGAGCTGGATTCACCTGACGCTTTTCCTCAGTCTAGGAGCCATGTCCACATTGTTTCCCTCACTCTTCCCCCGTGTGACTGAGACACTGTGGTTTAATCTGGATCGACCCTGTGTGGAGGAGACAGAGCTGCAGCAGCAAGAACAGCAGCATCAGGCCTGGGTGAGTGAGGACATAGCACAGCGGTGGAGCTTCAGTCAGGTGCCCCGACCCCCTTCACTGGCGTTGACCCATACCTACTCTGGAGACCTGCCCTGGGGGAGCTTTTTGTCCTGAGCTGGGGGCCTAGGTTCTCACCTTTGTGTTACCCTAATTTGCCAGGGGACCGTGGGAGCTCTAGGCCAGGTTGGAGCCCAGGCTCTTTTCCCTAAAGCATAGAAAATAATAATTTTGACTGTTTATTGAGGACCTAGCAGATGTCATGTTCTAGGCTGATAGTCTCACTTCATCCTCACCATAAGCTTATGAGGAAACCAAGGACCAGAGAGTTTATGTAGTTGGATCAAGTTCATAAGTAAGTGGCAGATGACAGGAGAGAAAGGGATTGAATCTTCCAGAGAGCTGGAAGGAAGCTTCTCCTTCACACTTGGGGGTCTTCCTGGGGGCAGGGCAGGTGAGTGCCATGCCCCTGACTGCCCTGCTTGGGCCCTGGCCTTGCTCTTCTCCCCCTGTGGCCACAGCTCCAGAGCATTGCAGAGAAAGACAACAACCTGGTACCTATTGGCAAGCCGGCCTCAGAGGTGAGTGGCTCCAGCAGGTGGGGCCTCTGTGGGGCCCAGGTGGACCAAGGCTCTGCTCTAATTCGGAAGGTCTGGCCTCTGACTCCAGAGCAGTCGTGGTCCTCAGCTCTGGGTGGAGGACAGAAAAGAGGAGGTAGAGGGGGAGGGCACTGGGCTCAGCACTAAGGTCCTGCAGAACGTTCACCAGCCTGCTAGATTAAAGTGGGACAGGACTGGGGAATGGAGCTCATTCGTTGTCCCCAGAGAGAGGCTCCAAGTGGGCCAGTCCTTGAACTGGCCCAGGCAGACCTGTAGAGGCTACAGGCTCTTCCCTGCCTCACCAGCACTATGATGACGAGGAAGAGGAAGATGAAGACGACGACGAGGACAGTGAAGAGGACTCGGAGGATGATGAGGACATGCAGGACATGGATGAGATGAATGACTACAATGAGTCACCTGACGATGGAGAGGTCAATGAGGTAGGCAGGGGTGTGGGGCAGGGCCTCTGCTCCTGGGCCCCTACCCCTGACCTCACTGGCAGCCAGCGGGTACAGAAACCCTGGATCCAGCCAGGGGCAGGATCTGGGACTGGGGCTGGCTGGGTGGCTGAGGCCCCTCCCCACCCACACCCAGCCTCCTCTCCAGGTGGACATGGAAGGCAACGAGCAGGATCAGGACCAGTGGATGATCTAGGTAGACAAGGCAGGGTGGTCTCAGGAAGACTCCAAGCCCGCCCAACCTATCCTGGAGCCCCTGCGGACCCAGCTGATCACCCAACCCCCCCTGCCCCGGTGCCTGAAAGCTCACCCTCGGGCACCTCCTTAGCTGCTGCCAGCACCTGGTATCCTTGGCTCCTCCCAGGCCATCAGTCTGCCCTTGAATCTGCAGAGCCTGAGCCCACCCCACCTTTCTGGCCAGCACCTCATCCCTTGGTTGCCAGATCTAGTGTCTTTCTAACTCTCTTTAATAAAGACACAGGACTGATTTTTTTTCCCCACATCTATTCCCTATTTCTTGGTGGGGCCTAGAGGAGTCCAGCATCTTCTCTTGAGCTTTGGGGAGAGGGTTCTCAAGGGACTTCAGGCAAATCTACCTGGCCACGCGGGCTGGGGCTAGGGAAGGCCAGGGTAGCCCTGGCTGTGGGCCCAGGCTCCACTGCCATTTCCTCTGGCCCAGCTTGCACCCAGCCATTCCTGCAGGGCCTCTGACTCAGTGTTTACTGTTTCCTTTGATCCCACCTGGAATGGCATGGGGTGGGGTGGGGGGTGGGAGGCAGGCTTTCTGAGCACCAGAACTGGGAGGCCCCTGGAGCTCTCCTAGTCAACTTCCTTGGTGTTAGAACAGATTAGATCTCAGAGCAGGGCAGGGACTCCCATGGAGTAACCCAGCAAATCAGTGACAGGGCTGTGTTGTGAGCTGAAGTCTCTTGCCTGTCAGTCCATGACTCTGGACTGGAAGGAGGGGTACCAGTGGGATCAAACAGCCTGACAGAACTTGAGGCCTCAGGTTAGTGTGGAGCCAGAGTGAGACAGAGGTGGGAGGAGAGCCTCCCTAGCCCTGAGCCCAGTATGTGTCAGTCCACAAGCAGGGAGGGGAGGGGATATTCTGAGGTCCTTGCTTGGTTGGGGGGTGGGGGGGAGGCAGCAGTGAGTACCCCTGGGCCTGGACCTCAGCCAGGCCCTGCGTAGGTGAGCTGGGCTATGCCGTCCTTGATGGCAGGGAAGTCAGGGAGGCCAGTGTGGTGGAGGCGGCAGCGGTAGCGGCCACAGCTCTTGGCGTACTGCAGGAAGCGAGGTGCACCAGGGAAGAGCACGTGGTCAGCTAACACTGTGGCACCAACTGGCAGCAGGGCATGGGCCTCCAGCAGTTGCAGGTCCCGCAAATAACGTCGGGGCCTGTGTGCCAGGAGCACCAGGTCAATCCGATTCATATGGTACTGGGTTCTTAGGCGCGGGATCACCTCCTCTGATCTACCCACAATGAGCTCCACCTGTGGGGGTGGGAAGAGTTGGAGATGAGGGTGGGAGCGATTGTTCTCCCACACCAGACCCTACCGGGATCTGGCTTATTCTGTGCCAGGCCCTGGCCTAGGTCTCCGTGTGTGTTCTCATATTTCCCCTGGCCTCAGAACCCAAGGAGTCAGGATCAGCATTGTGATTTTCATTCTGCTAGTAAAGAAGCTGAGATTCAGAGGACAGGTGCTTTGCCCAAGATCACACAGCCAACAAGAGGCAGACTAAGGTTTGGACCCAGATTTGCTGGGCTCCAGAGACTTTCCTCTTAACTGCTTCTTTGTCATCCAGCAGCAAATACATGCCAGTAACTTGGAACAGGAGAACAAGAGCTCATACACTCTCCATGTTCACAGTTCCCTAAGTGGAGCTGTTTCCTTCTCCTAGGTGGGATTCCCCCATGGGGGAAGCTGGCTAGGGCAGGGCCGGGGGTGGCAGGAAAGAGACCAGGGTTGGGGAGGTAGGGGCTGACCGTGCGCTCGTCGAAGCCAGCCAGGCGGATGAGTTTTTCAGCCACTGCTGCTGTGCGTGGATCCCGCTCCACAGTGAGAAGGCGACCCCCAGGGGGCAGGGCACGGGCAATAAGCAGTGTGGAGTACCCGCAGTAGGTGCCCAGCTCCAGTGCACAAGCAGGGGCCTTCTCCTCCACCAGCCGCATCACGATCTGACCTATGGGGGGAGATGGTTATTGCAGCAGACATGGGAGATGGATGCAGGGGCCCTCATGGAAAGGGGTCTCAAATGCCCACTTGCCACTGCAACCCCCAACCAGCGGGAGTCTCATTTCTTTCTTGGATTAGAGTCCTAGCAGCCCCAGTGGTCTCCCTGCCCATCTCAGCTTGCCTCCTTCACACCAACCACTAGGAATCTTTCTGACAAATCTGACCCTAATGCTCCCTGGTTCCTATGAACCTAAAGGCCTTTGGGATTGAACGTGGGATCCTCAGCCTGACATTCAGAACTTTCCTGGACCTGATCCTATCCTACCTTTCCAGTTTCAGCTCTCAATTCTTCCCACCACAGCCATCCCAAACAACTGTGCCCAGAGCCAACCATGCTGGTTCATTTCTTCATGCCACATTTAGATATGTGGCTGGCTTTGTCCTCCCCCACCTCTGTCCTCAACTACCTGGCCAACTCGAAAGCAATCCCTCTAGGCTCAGTTCAAATGTTGCTTCCTCCAGGAGGGCCCAGGCAGAAACAACCACCAGAGAGAGACCAGGCTTCTGAGAGACCACTGTCCAGGCTCCTGAGAGATCTTTGCTAGACCTTCTAGTTTCATTCTCCCTTGATTTGTTCATTGAATATCTTTCTAACCATTGAATTGGATGAATTTCTTAAATGAGACTCTAAAAACACATGTGCTGACAGCTGGGACTCAGACAAATCCAGCCAGACAGCTACCCTGAATGGGCTGGAGGAACCTCCATGGTGGGGGAGAAAGACTTAGACACAGATAATTACAAGGTTTTGGGTTGTGTGCTGAGGTGGTTATTCCCCTGTATCATGCCCCCTTTGAGGCCAGCCTTTGTGGCTGATTCATCCCTGGCCTCTACCTCCTCCCCCAGCACCTAGCACATGCCTGGTACAAAAGAGGTGGTGATAAATTTTACTGGATGAATGTATAACTTTGCCCAGCCCCCTCATTTCCAGAGAAGAAAAAAGAGACCCACAGAAGATCAAGAACCTGCCTAATTCACCCAGTAAGGCAGCGGCAGATCCCAGATCTTCCTTCACCATCTTGGAGGTGCTTCCTGGAGCAGAAGGCTAGGGAACACTGACCTTTGACAGGCCCCATGTGGCTCAGGTACTCGCAGTGGCTGCTCCAGTGGTCCAGGGTGGTGAGGATATGACCAGGGTCCCCAGGCAGGGCGTGGGTGAGCACATAGCTGAAGGCCCGCTCCTCAATCCGCATCCCTGACAGGCAGTCTCGGAGGCTCCGGAGTAAGACCATGCGTACCAGTAGTCGGAAGTAGTGCCGGTACCTCACCAGCAATGTCACCACCAGTGGCAGGAAGGCCAGCGCGATGGCGGGGGACATGGTCCCTACCTGGGCCTGGGGTGGAGGAAGGGAGGGAAACCCACACATGTCGTTTGCCTGTCATTTGTGCAGCCCTTACCAGTAGCAATTATCCCTATATTTTACACACCGTGGCTCAGAAAGGTTAAGTCCTTTGTCCAGAGTCACACGGAAGAACTAAGATTTGAATCCAAGCTGGTCTGATTCCAAGCCCATGTACTTTCAAGGACAACATACTGTCTTATGTTCAGCACCCAACCCCAAACTATCTCTTCCTACTCCTGGTTCATCTTCACCTTGCTCCCTCCACCCATTTTCCCTTATCTCTGTAGTCACTGTTCTTCAGGACCCCTTTCACCAGTTCCTTCCTGAGTTCTCCTCCCACCTTACCCACTGCCTGCTTGGTCTCTGACCCATTACTGCGTAGCAAAAGAGCACAACTTTGTAGTCAGGAACCCCTTCACTGTCACTCTTCTGCCTCAGTAAAAGGCAATCAAAACACTCCATGGCATGTTAGGATGAGATATCCTTAACCACCCCAGGACCCTCCCTCTGTCAGCATTTCCCTGGGGGTGGAAAGAGTCCGTGATTGTATATTTATTCTCTAGTCCTATCTCCCCTCCCCTGCACTCCCCTCCTATCTTCTCTCTCAGCATTCCATTCACATTTACATTCACATATACACACAGCACACACTTTCCCCCAACTCAGCCTCTTCTCCCCACTCTCCCCACCCCCTGTCTGGGATAAGTGCCCTGTCTTCTCCCACACACTGGACCATCTGACCCTTTTGAGGCCACTGGTGGTGGTGACTAAAAATTAAAGTAGGAGTGTATGAATGGGGTGAATAGGTAGGTGAGTGACGGTGAATCTGAATTGATGCGCTTGGGAACCCACACTCAAGGGCCCCGCTTACCTGGGCTGGAGGCTCCTGCTTGGGGAAGATCAGAGCATAGGACAGGAGGGGGAGTCCTTGGGGTGGGGAAGAACCCTGAGGCAGGCTGGACTTGCTGTCAATTATTGATGCTGAGGCTGCTGCTGTCACCTGAGACCTGCAGTTCAAGTTACCAACCCCAGGGACAAGCTTGAGCTGCCTCCTACCCTTCAGGAGCCCTCAAAGAACTTACAGAAGTCCGGGGTCTTGATTTGAGGGGTAGTAAAGCTACTGGGTTTGGTGACCTCTCCTCAAATCCCTTGGTTCAGGACATAGGGTATGGTGTGAGCCAAGGTGATGGGGAGGTTGTGAGTTACTCAATAATTCCAAATCCTAAGCAAGTGCCAAGGCTTGAGTCACAGAGAAGAGTCGGATCCTGTCCCTGTCCCCCTGGAACTCCACCTTTGTTAGAAGAGACTGACACAGGAACAGAGAATATAATGTGAGCACTAGAAGGCATGCTCCATGAACACAGGAACTTTGGGCAGGCAGACCAGGTGGGGAGACAGTGTGCCAGGCCATGTGTGTAAAGTCCAGAAAGTCAATCAGGAAACTCCCAAGTATTTCCCTGCGGTTGGTGAGGCATTCCTCCAACCCCTCCTCCACTGCCCTGGGCTTGGAGTGGGTGTCAGGATCTGCAAGATCTTGCACGACAGACTTGGACTTGTGTTGAGTCCAAGGGAAGATGTGGGATGGTTCTAAGAAGCGCACTGATTGTGAGCTTTGTGTGTTAGATTACTATGCTGTAAAAAGGCAGGATTGAAGAGAAATGCCTGAGGGCAAGGAGATCACTGAGGTGGCCTCTATCTCCTCCACCAGGATTGAGCTCCACTCTGCTTCGGTTTGTGAAGGTATAAGGTCCCTTCTTCCAGTAAGTCTCAGATCCCCAGTCCAGGTTGGGTGACACACCCTCTGTATATCGCCAGACCAGGCAACTGGGCCTATTGGTGTGTACTCTTGGAGCATAGAGCCTGGATCCTACTCGCCCCTCTAAAGGCATTTAGGAGAGTATTTCATAACGGCAGTTGGTA